ACCTGCCTATAGGTAGGTATCTAGAATAGGTATTTTTAGGTACTTACTCCTGTTAAATAGGTACCTATAGACACCTATAGGCTGGGTATTTTAAAGGCTGGACTTATGTCTTGAGTTGCTATTTTGCAAAAGAGTTTAATGGCAAAGGCTAAAGTGGGTGATAAACGGTACGTCGGTTGATACTTGTTAAGACCAGCCAGTTCAGAGACCCAAGCTGGATCAAACTCGACAGCATATTTGTAGATGCAAGTACCGCTGCTCTGCCTGAAGAGTTTGAACCGAGTGAGGGGCCTATGATTGTCTGGAGTAATGCAGAACATGTCTCCGCGGGACGCGGCCATGAGCCAGGGCTCATATGGTTCTATTTTTCGATTCCACCCATTCCAAATCACATCTACTTCCTCTTCATTGCCGTAAAACCATTTCCTCAGGCCGCAGTTCACCTGCATGTCCACATCGTCCGGACATCCCTTGGAGCAGGGGCTATGGAACAAGCATTTTCGCATGACCTCGCGAGACTCCTTGCAAGCCATCCACAGACCGGCGTGCCAGAGGTAGGCGGACCGGTTGGCCGGGTGAGGCTTATTCCAGCTGCAGTCCAGAGGAATACAATCGCCCCTGTTGTCAAGGCGCACATAGTTTATGCCGTAGGTGTGCTTCTTTTGAGACTCTGGCTTCAGATTCTCTTCCCCAAGAACGCAGGTCCATGATGAAGAGTCATAAATAGATTTTGCACATTCTCGGATTGCCGACTCCCAGACTTGTAGTCGGAGCTCATACGGGAGCTGTGAGAAGAGATGGAAAGTTGGGGGGGGACATTGCTAGCAGCTTGTCGGCCTTGATACTGGAGGAGAAAGATAAGGAGCTGAAGTTGGAATGAAGGCGAGGAACCTAAATGGCATCTGTGTCTTCCTTAAGTATGCCTTTATTTTACTTTTATAAACTTTTTTATAAAGTTACCCAGATCTCCTGAATTGATTCGAAACTATGTTTCAAGGCTTGATTAAGAATCACCAAGCTTTCTAGGCCATCAGTCATCCCAAACTATATTGTAAAGGTATGAGGAATGCACCCAGGACACGCACTATCATCCAAAAAGTCTTTCCCAGGCATTAATCTTGACTGATCCCATTCATTTCCTGTGTCCTCTCAACTCAAGACCCTATTCCATTAGGTTTCCGAGGCGAGCCACTGCAAAAGTACCAGGACCAGCCTCTCAGAGCAACATATCTGCTCTCTCCCCTCCGGAAGTTGTGCTTGAATGGAAGAAGACGTTATAGACGCTCTCCATAGTGCGGTTGACACCTCACTCCTTTGCGGATCCCGCTTGATTTTGCTGTAAAGCAATGATAGAAAAGTAGTCCCTTATGACGAATCTCGGGTCTCTCCAAAGTCTGAAGACGCCTAGATTCTGGAGCTTGTCCTCCAATAGTCTGTCCAGATGACCGAGGAATTCGAGAACAGGGCTATGACAAACGATCCGTGCAGAAGACGAGCCAGATTTCATGGGAATCTCGACATATTCGTAATCACAGTCATAGAATGTGTCAAGACCAATTTGTGTAGTGTCGTCGTTTATCCATCGAGCATTCCTGTCGATGAGCCTGATAGTTGACCTGGTGGGATGCCTGGTATGTGCTGCCTCGAACACCAGCCTGAGGATAAAGGCCAGCGAAGGCAGGAACTTCTTTATAGGGTAGTAGTTGTCATGCAGTGATAGCTGGCTGTTCCAAGAAGGCTTGAATTCGAAGGCGAGTCTTTGGAATTCTCGGAGTGGGTAGTAGTTCCCATAAGACGCAGCTCGCCCTGCTCTGTTTAATGCGACACAGAAAATATCTCGCGAGGGACAGACGAACATTTTCAGGTCCAGCGATTCACTGTTCCCTTGTCCTCCATACACAGGAGGCTTTATTGATACAAGCTCTCTCCTTGCGTACGATCTGCGGCCCGCCAAGGCGAACTTCAAAAGGACAGGGCTAAGGACATCAGGATAGCCATATTCGACATCTTGCTGCCGCTCATGCTTCATTGCCGCTGCTCGGGAGTCCCAGCACGCCGTCCGGAGACCTTGTTCCAGTTCGTAACCTGACCTTGCTCTCTGGAATTCGACTTTGGTGGTTTTATCCAGCGGAACCGGAGATCCGTCATGGTCAAGACCGATGTAGTGCAGACCCCCGGGAACAGCTTTGGGTGAGCGAAATGAGGATTCCCATATCTGCAGCTGGATTTCGGGCGGTAGTTCTGGGAATTTATGAAAGGTTGAGGGGGTCATTGTCTGTCGACCTTGGGCTGATGGAAGGAGGTGAGATTTCATGATGCCCAGTAGAACGAAACAAGTCTCTGATATTGGCCTTTGGTTTTGCCTTTGTGAGAGGGTTCAGAATGAGGGCTTTGTTTGTGATGAAGTTTAACTTTTGACGGTCATTCACTCGTGATGCTGGTATTGTAACCGGAGCTTCGATACTTCCTGAGGAATCATTTGTCTAGTCCAGTCCGATAGATTGGAGGCACCATCTTATATGCCTCCAAGGCCGGCCAAAGAGTCATCATTTAAGTTTTCTGCTTATTAGCCTTTAGCTGTAGCAATTAGTTAGTTATTATAGTATAATATCTACGTTATGAGCTAGATATGTTATTTGCAGCTGGGACTTGTAGCTGAGCGCTTAAATCAGCGGACAGAACTTAGTAATTGCTTGACAAAAGGGCGACTAGACCATACTAACCGTTGTGTTCAATAACTACCAAAAAGGGAATGCGAGTAAACGAAGGTAAAGCGGCCAATGACTCATCCGGCACCCGACTCGGGAATAGCGTCAAAGATGGCTGAGCACTGAAGAGCCTCATCCGACTACAAAAGCATTGCATCACCAGTGGCCAATCCAATCCATCAGTCAATTACACCGACCATCATATCCGCTCTCCAAACACATCAGCTATCATGGACTACTCAACAGACGACATCGTCAATGCTTACCAGTCAAAGCGGCTCGAGTACATCCGAGCCGACAAGACCGATGAAAACCTTAAGAAGATTGCTCTCACCATCCTTCAAGATCCTGTCATCCAGGCCCTTTCAGCACCCACCATGCTCCTGCCAAAGGGGCCCAAGGAGGTCGACTCATACATAGACTCGGTTGTCAATTCTTTGCTCGGTGTTGCGATATATCTCAGAGACGATGCCGACAACGACAAGACAGAAGACAAAGACAAGAAGCCTCCAACTATCATTGGCGTCATGTGCATCGGCTGGGGAGGCATCTCACCCACAGTTGCCCATCATCGAACTGCCGAGATTGGCATCTCTCTTGTCAAAGAGCATCAAGGCAAGGGCTACGGAAGAGAAGCCATCAACTGGATGGTAGACTGGGGCTTCCGGCACGCTGGTCTGCATACAATTGGTATTACTACTACCGACTACAATCCCCGAGGAGTACATCTTTACGAGAGCATTGGTTTCAAGCTGGAAGGCAAAAGACGCCAGACTGTTTGGATGAATCGCAAGTGGTACGACCTGATCGAGTTTGGAATGACGGAAGACGAATGGGAATCACTTCGGGGTCTTGATACGAAACAAAAGTAGTGTATTTGATCAATAAAAGCTGCATCGTACCCATCAGCGAGGGCAAGCTGGGCTGTCGAGGAATATATGACAGTCGACAGCCCACTGCCAAAGCGAAGCGCGCTTTCCACGACGATATCATGCCATGTGGCGAGATCGTTGACCATGTAGAGATGGGTAAAGCATGTGTAAAGCATATAGCTGCATTGGAGATCTGTCGTTTGTAGTTGCGTGAGGATCGTCGATGTCGTAACTCGTTCTTATCGCAGTCACATTGCAGGCGGTCGTAACTGAGTCGTCGCTGTGCTTCGTCGTCGTTCATCGTAGTCGTCGGTCGCTCTCGTTGTTTCGTCGCTCGTTCGCCCGTTCGTTTGTGAAGGGTAGTTGCATCGTCGGTGTTAGCTTGCTTGGGCGTTGTCTATCGTTCGGAACTCGTCGGCCGTCGTCGGGTCATCGTCGGGTCGTCGTCGTATGCGCATCATGTCTGGTGGTTGTAGACTGGTAGTGATGGGTCAGTGTTTGACGCTGTAGGTGGAATAGGCAGTACTGACAGTTGCTGATGTCGGGGATACTTGAAAGGGCGATAACTGCCGTGGGGTCCGTTGGCCTTCGGGGGCTGACGAGGGCGTGCCTCGCTTTTCTCAGTTCCGCAACAGGATGGATTATCGCGTCAACTTTCTATCGCAACGCGAGCGACGCGTTTGACAATCGCGTCATCTTGTCTTCTTCGACACTGCAAGGAAAGCACGCGACAGAGGCAATGGCCGCGTCAGCCCGTATTACCGGTAGACTTTTCTCGCATTTGCCCCAAGAGCTCTGGCATGAGGACCATCGGAGTTCGGAACCCAAATGCTACCATCTGGAGGAGGCTGAAACGGAGAGTCGAAGTGAGAGGGCAGCTCTTGCATAGGTCTGGTCTACGCACATGCTGGAGTGTAGAATACTCAGCAGTGATCAACACTGTACGCGATGTTCCCCCTTCCCTTGCACCCAGCTGAATATGAACGAGGGCAACATCTAAGCTTCGTGGGGAGCTGTAGGCAGCTGCATTTGAGCGATCACATTTTGAGACACCACCACGGCGTGTCCATTTAGGTCCGATGATCAAGGGCCCAACATCCAAAGACCCTTGGCGAAATCCGATTCTTGCCTTGCTTGGCGGAAGGTATTGGGTCCGACGCAGCACGGTCAGAAACTTTGCCATCGGGGAAAATGTAATCAAGGACCGATTATCCGAAACTTCTGTCATTGAGCTTTCGTATGGGCGACACATAGAGCTATCGATGTGGCGCGTTGCTGATGCCCTCTGCTCGCCACGGTTGTCAGGAGTTCATGAGGAGCCTCTCCCACGTCCTTGACAAGTGAGACAAACGGACCCTGGCCGCAAACGTCGACGATCTTGCCTCGCGAAATCAACGCTCGTATTGACAAGTTCGTCACCCGAGAACGAGAATGAAGGGACCAAGATGTCCTCCAAACACTGCATAGTGGAGGCGTTGAGTCGCATGTCTACATCCTTCACCGTCGCAGCCTGTCACACGAGGCTGAGTACAGACCGCCGACCTGACCACAGCCTCCACTAGCCTGTACTCAATGATCTTGTTTCTTTGCGTGCTCTGAGCGTCAATCTGTTCATGCTGACAGCCTCACGAATGCGGTTCGAGAAACGATTGAGGGACACGCTATCTGGCTGTGCTTGCTAAATACAGTTATTGTCGCACATGATTTCCTGTCGGTCCAGTGCGAGGGGCAAGGGATCGCGCTGCCTGCAAACGCCGTGGTGTAAGAAACGAGCCTGGGGTTATGTCGTGGCGAATGAGGTATCCCCATCTTGGGATATGCGATGAATGCGAGTCGGACAGCTCGTCCAGAAGAACCAGCGACCCATGTGGAAGATTACCTCCAGGCGACGGTGTCAATTTGAAGCACAATGACAATCGACTATGGACCTAGGTGTCTGAAGCCTTTTAGCACGACCCAGCGCATTACGACAGTGTGCATGGCACCTGTTTCGGGATCAGCACTTCGTTGGTAGCATAGCCAGGCGCGGATGATGCTAATGACGATGTCACGAGCGCTACCATCGGAATGTAATCTGTGTAGACGAAGAAAACGGGCAGCGATGACCATGTCGCCGCTGCATGTTCAGCTCAGAAAGCTGGTTGTCCATTCCTGTCTACTGGCTTCGCTAAAAATGCGGCGAGGTGCTCTCTTTGGTCCGACTGGTTGCGAGCTAAAAAGCACCTGCATCAAGATGCTGTTGAGCTCATGAGACACGTCAAGGCCATCGATGGAATCGAGGCACAAGGGAGGACGGTCCATGATGATTGTTCGGATCCGACTAGTCGCAGTCAGCACTCATGACTGGGTGGCTGGTCCTAAGTGCTTTTGCAAGATCCAAATAGTGAGAGACACCATCAAGCAAAGTGGAATCGTTCCGGGGACTGGTCGACGACGAAAAGAACCGTCCGAATGTCAGTGACAGTGGTTACGAAGGGAAGTATTCCTCACGACATGAGTCCCAACAGTCACTTAGCTGTCTGGCAGCCTCTAGCCATCTTCAACCATCAACAGTCGACAATTTGTGTAAGATTGCAAATTGGCCACATGCCGAGGTCATTGCCGGAGCGTTTGACATCCAAGTCTTCAGCGACGAGGAACTCCCCAGCGGTTCAAGTAAACACTGAAGCTTTGGTGGCCTGGTCGGAGTCAATCGGAAGCAGCAAGCGGTCGACATGCCCGTCATATTTTGGTGTCAGCAACCGAAGGCGTCAGCGCAGCAAACACTTCGAGGCGGTCGCTTCAAAGTCAGGTGTCAGCATCTGGGCTAGAGATGGTGCGGGTACCCGTAGGGTTGGGGCATATTGGGTCAAGAGCGGATGACAAGTCGCTGGCCTGCATTCCAGGCCGATACCAGGCATCAGAAGCGTAATGCCACCACGAGTATCGGTGAAGGCTTGACATAATGTTGAAGTCGACTCGGAAGGCTTTGTTCACTGTGACCGGCTCAGAGACAGTGAATCACAACAACATGGCGTTGGGGTTGAAGCAGGCCACTTCTCGCGAAGACATCAACGACGAGACGAGCACGGGATGGATCAAAAGGCCGCGGGCGATGATTTCGAGGGTAAAACTAATGAAGTGTGGTTGGTCTCTTTCGCTTCGTGAGAATTGAGGTGGTCCGCGGGTCGGAGCCAGCTGCTGCAAACTGTGTAGCGACTCAAAACAAATCAGCTAGGCCACAGCGGAGGTGTGTTAATCCTCGAGCTCCAGCGTTCGAGACGCAGGTTGACCAGGATCTGTACCTGCAATACAACTTGCAAATATGCAAGCAGTGTTGACGGTAATGGCAAGAGTCGAGTCACCGCATGAAGCTAAGTCGCGAAACGACTTGTAGCCGCCGAGTCTCCGCCGCAGCGACAACATGATAATAGATCCGGTCGGTTCCCGTGTCATGGAGTCAAAGGCGGAGGGTGTAGCATCGTAGTTCATGTCGGCGCTCGTGGCTTCGCTTCGGTGGGCAGCAACGAGGTGCTATTAGAAACACAAAGTTTTCGAGCTTCTAATCGTTCACCGGCCAGAGATTTCGTGTTGCGCTCCTGGCCATCGTTATGTCGATATGCGGAGAACTGTTGGCCCATCTCAACCAAGAGCCGGCCGTACTACGCAGCGGTATTCCGGTCGCCTCTTCTCGTTGCAGTTGTCGTGATCATGGCTTCGAGTTGATGTGCCTCGCGAGCGTCCCTTCAGAAGAGAGCAGGCCTCTGTGGTGTTGCAAGGGCTGCGAAGATACGTGGGCTACAGTCGAGGAATGCAGCGGGAGCTATTGATCTTGTTTGAACATGGAGATCGTGTTGGGGTAAATGGGAGGACCATTTCCAAGGTAGAACATGCATTCTGCGGCGTCATTTCACAATGGGTCTGCTTGAATGGCTCGAATAGCCACGGTCGGCCGTAGGCATGCTTGCGGCGCTACGGAATCTGCTCGTTTTGCGACGGACCGCACGGTCATGTTGAAGTCTGGATTCGAGGAAACGGTATACGTCGGGGCGTAGGAAGCAGGTTGGTTGTGCAAACAATGTAAGATTGACGCTGGCCGACGCAAAGGTTGTCTGGCGGCGATGATTGCAAGCGAGAGGGAGAACTTCAGCAGTCGGAGAATGCGGCATCAAGGCTGCAAATGACGACCGATTGATTCGAGGCAAAATGTACTGCGTTCACGGTGTTGCAGGCGATAAAAAGTTCATGCGTTGCTGGCAAGGCGTCGGCGCTGGGACAAGCCAGGTCGAGTTGCCTGATCACGGAGGTGCGAGAAAGGAGACGAGTTGCAGAGACATAAACCGAAAGTAGTTCATTTTGGTGCGGGCAGATGATTGTGGCTATCAGTGCGGCTCTGAGCCTTGGTGTGTTGATTGACAGTTGCACGTTGGAAAGAGGAGGTTGCTTCAGCGATGCTGGCGGGAGAAATGTTGGCCTCGCGACCGTTAGTCATCAACGATAACCAACGATTGCAAGGTAGGTGGTAAACCCGCATTGAAACGATCGCGCTTGAGGAGAGAATCTTGAAAATCGTAAGTTTAACAACGACACAGGCGAGGATGTCGGTCGGCCTTATATAAAGACGTGATGTCGGGTAGAAATGTTTTTGCGCTTCAGTGGATAATTTCTCGTGCACCCAAATTGTGGGTGGGGGTGAGCGCGACGGCATAACCTAACATGTGAAGAGTCCTTAACGCAAATGAATTATTTGCAATACAAACTGCTTCCGGTATCTGGGATCGCAAGTCTATCGAGATTGATTCCAGGCATGAACATTCCAGTCCTTCTGACTAATGTGTGAGCCCTCCTGTTGTGCCTCAAATATCGTGGGCTTCAAGTAATTTACTTACCCTGGATCTACGCTTTCCAGTGAGTTCAGTGTCAATCACATCCAAATCTTCAGAACTAGCATTCAAAGCAAGACTGTTACTATTTTAGATGGATTGGATTCTATCATTGGCTTGTTTCACTTTCTGTCAGTCAATCAGGGACCAAAACGGAGCGCCCCGAGTAGAGGTTGATTCACTTGTCGCAACTTTTATCACCCTGTATGTTGCGCGGTCACAAATTCATTCGGCGTGTATCTCTGAGGCTATGAATGTCATTCAAGCTTCATGTTACCATAGCTTACGATATATTTCAGTTCACTAGCCCATAAGGACTAGTTCTACTTTGCCATGCGTGAGGAATTGACTCGGTAAATTGTGGCTATTGATATCCTAAACTACGAAGTGAACTGTCACTGATCTAAATATCAGAGAGGTCATCGTGGCTAGGAATGTCTCCCACTGAAACTACTTCTTGGGAATCTAACGCATTATCCTCAAAGATTCAATCCCCGTTGTACGTTGTCCATCCGCTCCCTTGCTTCTGGTGTCGCAGTCCACTTATCAGGAATAGGAGCTCGAGCATTAGCATTAGGGTACATTCTGGCATCTCGAGGCTCTCTTCTGTCGACCTGATAGCTTCTGCTAACCTGAGGAAATACATTATTCCTGCCAACTTCAGATTGTACATCCCTTAAAAACCCACGCTCGTTTCCCCGCCGCTGCTCGTTTTCCTGCCGCTGTTCATTCGCTCTCCTCAAGTAGTGCTGTTGGTTAGCTCCCGAACGGGTACCTGGTTCGACTTGCCTGTATCCTTCACCGGCAACGTATTCCAACTGCGGGCTTTCGTTAGGGTTTAGCCTTTGAGGTTCGACTCTTGGGGATTTATGTGGCATGGGTAATCTCGGCACAACGCGGTCTCCATCAGAAACTACAAAAGGATCAAAGTACCACTCGCTAAAAGGAGTGAGAGGGTGTTCAGGGGAAGTAGGCGATAGCCAAGGCGTTGGGTTATACATTGGCCAAACCATCCTTCGCGTCTTGGGTTCCCAGTTTGAGTTGGGATTTCGGGCTCGGTAGCGTCTCATGTAATCCTCATAAGCAGCATCGTTGTTGGCCTGGCTGTCAGATGCGAGCGGTGTTCGGCCATGATCGTCCTGTCGGTAAGCCATAGTGAAAGTTTTCTTGGTATATTACTAGGGGAACAAGCAGGAGGAGGAGGAGGAGGAGGAGGAGGAGGAGGAGGAATAGTATTTATACTTGATATCAACAGCTTATAAGTGTAACGTTTAGAGCTACCATTTTCTGGTAAGTGATGGACAGCCTCAAGGTTCATTGAGTTTCTGCCACCGCAATGCAATAAAGCTGTGAATGTATCCATGTAAATGCTGGTTCTTCGACACCCCTCTCTATCAGGATCCTCAATTCTGAGTCCTCCCCTACTTGTTCGTTTACCAGCTAGCATTTCAACTGCTGGCTGTTGACCCATCGACTGTCGCTGTAGATTTGTTCATCTTTTGACACATGTTCGAGGAACGATGAGAATAAGAGATGCTTTGCCATTGAGTGCAGTCATGGTGTTGATATCACATTAGAAGCCGTCAGTCTGTTATCCAATCACAAGGCAAGATGGCCGAGCGGTCTAAGGCGCTGTGTTCAGGTTCGATTCGAACTAGTAACGATTCGCAGTCTCGAAAGGGGCCTGGGTTCGAATCCCAGTCTTGTCAATTATTTTTTCTTGTGTCGCAACATGCCAATGGACGACTCTGATATTTCTTTTGCCACGTTGAATGCCCTGAAGTCTTAGCCGCCCTGAACGATTTGTTTCAACTCAGTAGCTAGCAACCCTTACTCAAAAGGCGGATGATCGCATGAGTGTGAATCGGAAGAGGCTGGCATGTCTTCGCTCTCGTGTGACGCTCCCTCTCCACTCGCCCCCAAATCAATTGGAGCGCTTCCATCGGGGATGTCGGAGCCGGAGTCGACTCGCCAGGTTCAAAGCGTTTTGTCGATCTTTATCAAGTTTAAGAAGTTTCCCCGCAGACTCCCCGGAGCCATTGATGCTGGTTCCTTGCCTCTACCCCAGATTTTATCAATGAGTTTATTCGCAAACCGAACCCTCTCGAGCCATGCCTAGGTAATTTTCGCAAACGACCGGTGATCTTCGGCTACGGCCCCGACCAATTTGCCGGCCGTTTGGCTACGAACAGCTAACGCGGAACCATGAGTCCATTCTGGGATCATCATCTATATAAGAGGTTTTAATCTCGCATGAGATATTCGCTCTTCGCCTCTCTTGAGTCTCCCATTGATGCTTGTTCCCAGCCATTGGGTCGTTCATCTTTGCCCAAAGACATCTGTACAAGGCCATCAATATGTCTGAGAAGCGTGACGAGCTTGAGAAGTCCGATGTACTCCATCGCGATCTGACCAATGATTTGCCCCCCGAGGTACTCGCTACTGAGATTGCGCACGAAGTTGAGAACAACAAGTTTTCACCATGGACACCGTCTATGTTTCAGCTCTATGCTGTGCTCTTCGTGGCGTATTGCTGTGGCTGTCTCAATGGCTATGATGGCAGTTTGATGGGTGGATTGAACGGCATGAAGTCATATCAACGAACTTTTGACATGTAGGTTTATACTCATATTGTGGGGAGGGACATTTGACTGACCAGCTACAGGAAATCTGATGGTTCTGCTACTGGCATTGTTTTCATGATCTACAATGTTGGCAGCATTGCTGCAGCCCCGACTGTCCCTTTCACCACTGATCGCTTTGGACGTCGCGCTGGAATGTTCACTGGCGCTCTCATCATCATCATCGGCACTTGTGTTCAGTGAGTCACTCCTCAAAGTTACACAGACAGCGCTAACAAGATGTAGGGCTACTGCGAAAGCCATGCCTCAGTTCATGGGCGGTCGATTCCTCCTCGGATTTGGTGTCTCGTACTGCTGTATCGCTGCCCCAACCTACGTCAGCGAGCTTGCTCACCCCAAGGTAAGCAGCATTGACAAGCCTACGGAAAGGTTGCTGACAAGAGTTTAGTGGAGAGGTACTCTTACCGGTCTTTACAACTGCATGTGGCCTGTTGGAGCTATCATCGCTGGCTGGGCAACCTATGGCAGCGCTTACATCAAAGGCAACGACGGGTGGAGAGTCCCAGTCTGGATTCAGCTTGTCACCTCTGGCGTTGTCGCAATCTTTGCGTTCTTCCTCCCAGAATCTGTAAGTCTCTTTTCCAATATAACCTCTCACTTACTGACCAAGTAACAGCCCCGATGGTTAATCGCCAATGATAAGCACGATGAAGCTGCCGCTATCCTTGCCAAGTATCACGGCGAAGGATCAGCCGACCACCCTATTGTCCAACTTCAGATGAAGGAGATGATGGCCCAGATTTCGACCGAAGCTTCAGACAAGAGATGGTGGGATTACCGTGAGCTCTGGAACTCGCACAGCAACAAGCGACGCCTTATCTGTGTTCTTGGCATGGCTATCATGGGTCAAGCATCTGGTAACTCACTGTCAAGTTACTACCTTGTCGCTATGATGAACACGGCTGGTATCAAAGATGAGAAGCTTGTTCTTGCTCTCAACGCCACCAACAGCGTTCTTGGGCTCATCGGCTCAGTCATCGGTGCCCGCCTGACTGATCGTGTTGGTCGTCGACCTCTTCTCATTTACAGCATCCTCTTCTGTTCAGTCATCTTTGCCGTCATTACAGGAACATCCAAGATGGCTGTTGACGACGCAAGCAACAAGAACGCAGCCAACACCACCATTGCCTTCGTCTTCCTCTTCGGTGTCGTGTTTTCACTTGGATGGACTGCCCAGCAAAGCATGTATATCGCTGAGACACTCACTACCTCGACACGAGCCAAGGGAACAGCACTGGGCAACTGGGCTTCTAGCTGTATTTCCCTCGTCCTGGCCTACTCTTCGGGGCCAGCCTTTGAGAAGATTGGTTACTACTTCTATCTTGTTTTCGTGTTTTGGGATCTGCTTGAGGCTGCGTTTATCTTCTTCTTCTTTCCAGAGACGAAGGACCGGACGCTGGAGGAGCTTAATGAGGTCTTTGATGCCCCTAATCCTGTTAAGAAGTCGCTGGAGCCCAGGACTGCTGAGACGGTCCGGGCCACTATGAACCAGAATGAAGCAAAGGTTATTGACGTTTAGACAGCTGCGAGCTGTGATGTTGAAGGTTGTTGGACGATATGCATATAGATCTATAAGAGTCTGGTTAATCTACAACGTTGTACCTTCGCAATACTCGTACTTACTGAAGAAGCAATAAAGCATCATGACGATGAGAGGTCCCTGTTCATAGTTCCTGGGAGGACGGTCTAATGCCCCATGACGATAGTAGTGGGCTTTCGCAAGTTCAACAGTTTCTATCACTCTCTATGTATAATTTCAAGCCCCTGTTAGAGGAAGTATCATTGGCTGCATGCCGCCACGAATCTTGACTGAGCCTTCCCGTCCGGCAAGCTGGATTTGCGCCATGGCATGAGAGTTGAGAAAGTGATGTAAGTATACCATTGCTCCGTCGATCGTCCGATGCAACATGTACCACGAGGTGCAAAAGCCTTGGCTCAAGTAACGTTGGAACAAGGATATGTTCTTCCCGGCTCCGATATCCCCGGGCCATCACTTGATCTCCCCCTGTCGATTACCCCAGACCTTTCACTCCTTGTTTACGTCGGCCCCGCAAATGGGCCGGCAGATCATGTGAAGTACTCACAAAGGAAGGTTCCCATGATTGAACCAAGGTCTCCAAATTGGTGCGCATATGAAAGAAACCAATGGAGGAAATTGCAATGCCGATCATATAACCTTAAACTGCTTCCAAGTACCGAATACCCGAGTTGAGCTAAGAGGAAGTCGAGTGCAAAGTAACGGAGACTTACCCCAGAAAAGAGATTCTTCACATCGGGCCATGTCTCGCCGGCGTCCGAGCATACCGCAAAGAGAATTGGGCCGCGGCGAAGTATAATAAGAACCTTGGTTGTCCTCAAAGTTGGTCCTGATCAAGCTCCAAGAACTGCAGCTCAGCTCTTCGAAGAGGTCCCATACCAGATCGCAAGATGCCTCGCTTCTTCTCGGCTCTTCTCGCTGTGCTTGCAGCCAGTACGGTCCAGGCTTCTCTTGACATTGTGTCCGGAGCAACATGGACAGCTGTAAGTCAGCCTAAACTTCGATGCATGAGTGCTTTGCTGACCGGACTTTACCAAGACCAACACTGGTGAGCATGTCCAAGCTCACGGCCATGGCTTGATGTAAGTATGACATTCTATCTTGCCCAACGGGGATCTGACTTTGCAAGTGAGGTTGATGGAACCTACTACACGATCGGTGAGGACAAGACAGACGGAACATACTTCCAGAATGTCAACTGTTACTCCTCCACCAATCTCGTTGAGTGGACATACCGAGGCGCGCTCCTCTCCCGCACCAGCGAAGCAGGCGACCTCGGCCCCAACCGCATCGTTGAAAGACCAAAGGTCATTTACAACGACCAGACAAAGAAATATGTTCTTTACATGCACATCGACAGCCCTGACTACAAGGATGCGCGTGTTGGTATCGCAACTGGTGATAGTGTATGCGGCAAGTATACATATCAGCGAAGCTTCAGGCCTCTTGGTAAGCAGAGTCGCGACATGGGACTTTTCAAGGATGATGATGGATCTGCATATCTCATGACTGAAGACGTAAGCTTTTCGCTGTGCAGTTTTATAAAGGACAGGAACTGATCCAGTTACAGCGAGAGTATGGGACGCGAATCATGGCTTTGTCAGACGACTATCTCAACGTCACTGAGATTACATATGAGTGGCAGTACTTCGCCGAGTCCCCAGCTATGTTGAAGCAAAACGGATACTACTTCATCTTTGGCTCTCATCTGACCGGCTGGAATGCAAATGATAATGTAAGCAGCACCCCTAACCCTTAGCTATACTTCACGTTATTGTTACTGACGCAACACCCCAATAGATCTACAGCTACGCCAAATCACTGTCTGGTCCATGGTCCAACTGGACCACGTTCGCACCTGTTGGATCCAATACCTACCAAAGCCAGGTCAGCTACATCCAACCACTTGGCAACGGCAATGCTATCTACATTGGTGATCGCTGGGTCTCTACAAACCTCGCTGCCAGCACCTACGTCTGGCTTCCGCTCAAGGTTGATGGCAGCAAAGTTACACTCAGTTGGTACGACTCATGGTCACCGAACCTTTCAAAGGGAACTTGGTCAGAGACAAAGATGACAAAGATCGAGGGTGAGACTGCAACCATGGCCAATGATGCCAGAGTCATCTCATGTAGTGAATGCAGTGGCGGTAAAGCCGTCGGCTACATCGGAGGTGATAAGAAAGGCACCCTTACTTTCAAGAACATTAAGAGCTCTGGAGGTACAGCTACTATCAACGTCAAGTACCGAAATGGCGATACCGGATCACGATATGCTACGGTCAACGTCAATGGCGAATCTCAGAAGCTTGCGTTCTTGTCCACCAGCCATCTTTCGCAGACTGGGCTCAGTCGGGGTTTCTTTGATCTCAAGGAGGGATCTGATAACACGATCACTATTTCCAATGATGATGGATGGGGTCCAGATGTGGATGCGCTTATGCCGCCAGCAGCATAAATTGGGCAGAAAGACGATGCTGATGGTATATGAGGTTTTAATCGGGAGCAATTCTGGCGCCCTCCAGCGTCCATAGTGTCAGTCACAGCTGCCGGGTGCGCTCCTTTGTAGCACATATGTTAGTCATTGGATTCAATTCGACTCAATCGAAGATCCCTTAGTGAATATCGTGAGGCAAGAGTTTGCGAACATGGCCATTAGCTCATGCGGGGTAGCATCAAGTAGTAGGCTAGATGTCGGCTTTGATATCCAAAATAGGCCATAAACACGACGCGTAATCAGAATCCGATAACACATGTGCTGCAGTTAGTGGATTTTGTTGCTTGTTTTGGAGCAAAGGGGTTAACGACACGGCGTTTGTTGCGCTAGAGATCGCAAACTATTTCCTTGGGTCATCTGTGTACACGGATCTCGGCAATTCACTTCCATCACCTACCGTTATGAAGCATCCATTTTTATCGAGTGTCGAAAGATGAATCCTTTGGCCATGCATAAATGAGTCCCTCTCGCCCCAGCATCAAAATGGAAAAGTGACAGAGCGCGCCGTTTGAAATTTGTCTCTCCCCAGCCTTTTTTAGCAATATTTACTCTGCCTACATATCATGGACCAAACTGTCAAAGTCGGTGCCGTGCAGGCAGAGCCTGTATGGCTCGACCTGGAAGGAAGCGTTGACAAAACTATCTCCCTGATCGAGAAAGCTGCCGCCGATGGAGTCCAAGTACTTGGGTTTCCTGAAGTTTGGATCCCTGGTTATCCATGGTATGATCAGAATATGTCAAGCAAGGTTTCTTATGCTATATAGACATGGTGCTAACAGGGCTATGCAGGCAAATGTGGACGTCGCTAGTCATCAACAATGGGGGCTGGATCCACGAGTACATGGCCAATTCAATGCGCCGAGACTCGCCCCAGATGAAGAGAATCCAACAAGCTATTAAGAAAGCAGGTATGCTCGTCGTTCTCGGGTATAGTGAGCGAGATGGAGCAAGCCTGTACAGGGGACAATCATTCATCGATACAGATGGGGAAATCATCCATCATCGATGAAAGATCAAGCCAACTCACGTAGAACGAACCATCTGGGGCGAAGGACAAGCCGAATCGCTCAAAGTCGTCGTTGATTCCAAGTTCGGAAAGGTCGGGGCATTGAACTGCTGGGAGCATTTACAGCTATTGCTCCGATACAACGAATATGCGCAGGGTGTGCAGATACACATCGCCAGTTGGCTAGCTGAGTTTGAAATGCTAGACCCCGAAAAGATTGCTTGGCTGTATCATGAGACTGGTGAGGCGAGCTATCGCGCAAGTCAGTTCATGGCCATCGAGGGGGCAACTTTTGTCGCTGTTGCCTCACAGGTTCTCACCGAAAAGAACTTGGAACGGAATGGACTTACAGGCAATCCCGTTACCAAAACAGTAAGATAACCTCGCTTGAAGATGGACAGACTGCTGACTGTGGATGTAGCCGGGTGGTGGATTCTCGATGATCTTTGGGCCTGACGGCAAGCCACTTGCAGAGCCTATCGGTGACGGCGAAGAGGGCATCATCACGGTTGTGGTAAATCTGAGAGATATTGACAAGCCCAAGGCTTTCATTGATGTTGTTGGGCATTATGCGCGTCCCGACCTGCTCAGCCTCAAGGTCAACGAGAAGGTTGCAAAGCATGTCATCGTGGATTAGTGACGAGGCGAGATCTCAAAATGCTGGTTTCTCTTACCACCGTGTCCAATGGTTGTATCATCAAGGCCCAGGAGAATTTAATCTGTCTGGAGGCTAGGGTCATGCGTGAGTACGGTTTTATGATAGCGCTTATAGTCACTCGTCTTCTCAAATATCCGATCGCACAACTTTGGTCAATGACCTTTAAGAATCGAGGATTTCAGAGTAGCTATAGCCATTCTCATGAATCCAGTCAGTACCTATATTTCCAGCTCGTGTTGCAATAACCTTGAACTTATCGGGCAGTATGAATTCCAGGGTACAATTGCCTGTTTTGGTTCAGTTACGAATATGGCGATTATTGGCGGCTGACACATCATCCTCTGGACCCCGCTGACTTGCTTCCATTACACATCGAGACAAGAAGTGACAAGATACTGGAACAAACTGTCAATTCGTCCAAGGTTTCAGATTATCGTCTCAAAAGGTAAATTGAGATCATCAGTGACACTCATATTAAGCATCGGCAATATCAAAGTTCTACGAGATGTTATCGAAGGTATCTGGAAACAGCAGGATCTCCGGAGTATTGGAAAGGCTGGCCAGCGTGTCGATTGGTTGCAGTTTGTCGAGTGCGATGTTCCTGTCCCGTGGTTTATCTAGGTCACGTCCAGCTCTTGAACCGTCACTTGGACATATTAATTACGTTGGCGATATTCAAACAGGTATACACACGTTGATAACGAGTGTCTATGTTCAGTTGCGCATGATGTAAGGCGACGTGATACGACACGTGCAGGTACAGGTGCTCACGTACTCTGTGACATGGCGTGTCCTCTACTAATAGCAGGGCCTTCAAATCGCTGTCGAATTGACCAGCCACAAATTGGTACTTCCGATAAGGCAGCTCATCAATGCGATAACACTCTGCACTATCGGGTGATGACCCCTGTATTTGCGGTCAAGCGCTTCCTACGGCGGCGCTCAAGAGCAATCAACGCAAAAGGTACATTTCCTTCTCCTGTCAACACAGCATCTTGCAAGGTCGCTAGAGGTAACAGAGCCAGCACCTGGAGCCCAGCAGCCAGGCAATCGAAAGGCTTCAAGTAGCGACGTCTTTTGCAAGCACAATTCCTCGGCGCTTCAATTCTCGTTACATATTCTTTTCACACTGAATCATTACAATGCATCACTCGCTGTATGTCTGGTTCATTGTCCCTCACTCGCCCATGTAAATTGGTGTGCGTCATGCAGTTAGCACCCCTTGCCCGGCAACTGTTAGCTGCTTTCAGCTACATCAACACGACAGCCGCACATTTGCCAGCAGCAAAAAAGAGAGACCGATCAGGGACGCAACCGACAAAAACATACAACAGCGGGGATTCGCTGGTCGTCACCGACCCAACTACTAATCCGCCGGTTAGTGGCTTGACTATGGGAGGACTATGGGAGAGCAGCGGACGGGATCCCGTATTTTCCACTACCTTTGGTCGTATGTGCAGGACTGAGGATGTCTTTTGGCCTATATGGACAGCGTGTTGCTGATCCAACAGCTTGCTCTCTTTACTGTTATCCCGCGTTATCGTTGCTTTGAGTCTCTTTGGCGTCTTCACTATCAGTAACAGGATGCCAGAAACTCTGAATTAATGAACTAACAGTATCCGATTTAATTCGTGGGACGTCTAGGCAAGGGTTGATATCCTTCTTCGACAGATTGCTAGCCACATAGTGAGCAGAACAATCACATCCACCTCGATCACATTATTAAGTTCTAACCAGCAAAACATACTTATTTCTATAATGTCACTTGTCCAAGATCAAGCAACGGTAAGTAATAATATGCCAGCACTACATTAAGTCCAATACAAAGACGGCTTCATTGTTCAAGGCAAGATATGCCAATTGACTTTGTCAGCATTTAACAAAAACTTACCCTTGAGCTTGGACTCAAACGGGTTCGCCACTTTAGGTGGCAGCAAGACAAACCAACATCAACCGCTCGCGCCACCAACCCAGAGAATTCTGGTTGGCTGTCCTACTCAATTATTATTGGAGCTCCCCTCATTACCATTTAATGAATCGATTCTACAAACTCGACAGAATCAGCGAATGCTGCCAAGCCTAAGTGTCCTTGGTGCTTGGCCAGGAGTCAGCTATGTTCCCAGTCAAATCTCGGCAAAAACAACCAGCGGGTTTAGCTCAGTTGGGAGAGCGTCAGACTGAAGTTTAACTTCAATCTCTATCATTCGATATCTGAAGGTCGTGTGTTCGATCCACACAAACCGCATGTTCTCTTTTTGCTCCTCTCGCTAGTTGCCTGTGGGTCTGATCTGCTTGACTAGAAAGTGTCTAGCGTTAAAGAACCAGATGAGAAGGGAACATCAAGAAACTCCATGAAGCGTTTCAAGGTCCTGGTCAAGCTTGTCAGTCGACTCCAAAGCAATGACGAGCTTGCAGGAGGGGTCGGGTCTTTATTTTATAGCGTTAAGAAGTTACTTGTCGCTGATTAAGTTTACAGGCTGGATGACGCAGCCTCTTTACGCCCAGGATACTGGGGTGACTATACCCGTCTGTTGAGGAGCGTCTTGGATCAATAGCCCCGATGATATCTCTACCACCTATCAATGCTGGCAATGATTGATCAGCTTCGACTTTGTCAAGCCAACTCTTGTACGGCAATTCTTTCGCTCTCCGCCAACGAATTGAGTGGGCATTCAACCCACTCAAAGCACTGTCGGTGTGGCTCAGTTGGTTAGAGCGTTGGTCTCATAGCAAGAAGCGTGATTTGGTCCCAGATCAGAGTAATCCAAAGGTCGAGAGTTCGAGCCTCTCCACCGACAAGAACCTGTCTTTTTGACCGTGTTTCTCTTTTTGTTCTTCCGCGTTGGCCAGCCAAGTTCACATCTTGCCTGTCAAACTGCCGAAATGGCCTAGCCACGGGGACAGACTAGCACAATCTACACCAACGTTACATAGTAAATTGCAACTAGCTGGGATCAATATGACAGATTATCAATTGGACATGATTTAAAACCCCGGTAATAAGTCGATCGTTCTTCTTACTCGGTTATATCGGCACTATGTAAGACTGTTCCTAGCATGTCAGCATGAGCCATGACGCATTTGACCCAGCATGGAAGCACGGCTCATGAACATCGCATACTCACTTGTCCGAATACAGTATCTCATTCGAGATCAATCTCAGCCTTATGATAACTATATCACTCGAGAATTGCTCAGAATAGAGATACATGGGAGTGAAGGCCTAAACAAGTAACCCATTCGAGCATGTCTAACATCACGACGTCGTTGTGCAGGAAGAGGCCGCCGAGATGAATGACATTTAAGAAGTCATGATGCTGGAGAACCAGTCCTTCTTCCCATAGACAAGAAGCCACTCACATCCTGCAAACACTTTCGTATTCAATACTATCGTCATCTTATTCAAGATGCTCCCCTTCCCTTGCATGATAGCATGGGGAACTCTCCTTGCAGCGGTATTCCTCCCCGGCATGGCCTCTAATTTTAAGTTATGCTGACAGACGAATAGGTTACCAATGCTCATGAGGTCGAAGCATATCCTCCAAATGTCACCATTTCCAACACCACCACGTCCATGTTCCAGCTCAGCAATGACACCGAGTTCTCATTCATCCTCAGCGAATATCTTTCTCTGGCCAATGAAGGTGGTAGCGCCACAGGGGAGATCCTCCGAGCAGCTGCTGTGATCGAGCCAAATAATCCCGAGAGTTGGTATCGCGAGTTCAAGTTTCTTGCAGACAAAATCCGTGAACAGGCTGTTGCTGCCGAGAAGAAGAAGGACTGGGTCTCTGCTCGCTCAGCCTACTTCCGGTCCTCATCCTACTACAGAGGCGCCGACTTTTTCTTACACGGCAATCAGTCTGATCCTCGTATCAACATCCTCTGGCAGAAACAGAACACAAGTTTCACAAAGGCCGTCAACCTTCTCCCCAAGCCTCCGACCTTTGTTGAGTTGAAGGCAACTAGGTTTACTGTTCCGGTATACTTTTACCCAGGGGACGCCCAACTACCCGCTGGGAAACGCCTTGGCTATGGCAAGAAGATTCCTACAGTCATTGTTGGAACTGGATACGATGGATCTCAGGAGGCTCTCTACCATAGCAACTGTCGTGAAATCATCCAGCGCGGCTGGAACTGCATCACATATGAAGGACCAGGACAAGCTACAGTACGCCGAGAGCAGAATCTAGGCTTCATGCCCGAGTGGTGGGAGGCAGTCACCCCAGTTGTTGACTATGTTCGCAGTCGACATGACGTCGACCCTGACCGAGTCGCACTCATTGGCATGTCGTTTGGTGGACTTCTTGCGCCGTTGGCTGCGACACATGAACACAGATTGGCGGCTGTTCTTGCGATCGACGGGATGCTCAACCTTCAACGCTCCATTCTCGAGCAGTTTCCTCCAGCTTTGACCAAGCTCTTCCTCTCAGGTAACAGCACTGCCTTTGATGACGAGATCTACAGCCTTCTCAAGAACCCCAAGCTTCCAACTGCTCTGAGCTGGCCAATCAACCAAGGAATGTGGGCATGGAACACCAAGAGCCCTTTCAAGTGGTTGACCATGGTGGGAGAGTTCAACCTTGATAAGCAAAGCCTGGCCAAAATCAAATGTCCCGTATTTGTCGCCTCGGGCGAAGATGACATGACTGCTCCGGAACAGCCAGAGGAGATGGCACGGGCTTTTGGAAAGCAGGCGTACTACTTTTTGTTCAAGACAGAGCTGGGATCTGGGGTTCATTGTGCCATTGGGGCGGAGAATCAGCTTGCCCAGGAGACATTGGGCTGGCTTGAGGGTGTCTTTGACAAAGCCCCTAAGTAAGCATCGCAATGAGAACGCACTTGTGGTCTATGCGGCTGTATCATAGCTTTGGCCTTCGGAGACGATTACCCAGTGAAGGGGTATAGGCACTTTGACTGGAACTATCTTAGGTTATTCATAACTCAGTTACTTGAGTGTCGTCGGAGCAGTATTGATGTTA